ATATATAATGTATACACAGGTATGCATCTAACAGTGCTGCTCCTAAAATGGCATTAATATCTAGATTTTTTTTGTAATTTATGTGCTGCAGAATTCAACTTTTTCTCTGTGGAATATGTCCTATATATGATCTGAACTGCGTGTGTCCCCTTTCAGACACACACTGTATGCTTGCCTATGATTTTTCTTGCTAGTTCATCTGATTGTAAGGTCATTGGATTTTCAAGTCAACAATCCCATTAGATGTATTTTTATTTCCGGATTTTGATAACAAAAACATGATGAAATCTTCTTAACATGTTGCTCTAGTGTTTTTTTCTGTCTATGACTATAACACCTTTTCACAATGATTCAGCAACTAGGGACCTGTTTATTGTTTTTATGCATGGACAAAGAATACAATTGATTTCCCCTGAAAGATATAACAGCAAAAATGTGATCCATTGTACATTAGTTATGTCTAATAATTTTCTTATGCAGCATTTTTTCTAAATATATCTTTTTTTTAAAGTGTATGCCCAGACATTACACAAGTAGAACATGTCCCAGAATATTTTGTGTCGTCCCAAGAGGTGTGTGTGTGGAAGGCTGTGGGAAGTCAAGGCAGCAGCAGTGTTTTACAGTGAAAGAAATCAATACATGCTTGTGGAGTGGGACAGAATAGGGTAGGCCTTAGGCAGAACTTGGTAGTCTAGCAGGCAAGGCTAACAACACTGGCTTGGATTTGAGTGTGGCAAACACATTGTGTTGCTGGCTGATACTGGAAGTTATTGGGATTGTAGATTTCTGGCAGATTAACAAGTATTTTTCTGTATTTTGCAGCATTTTTACAGAATAAAATATGAAGGAGAATGTATATGTACTGCAGAGAATTGTTTTTTTTTTTTTTTTCATTTCACCCTGACATGCACATTAATCAATTTAAAGAGTTCACCTTTTCTGAAAAAATGAAAAGGAGAAGTAACACTGTACACCCTCACGACCCAGTCCCCCTGTACTTGCCTCCTTGGGTGATGAATTGACAGTGCCCATAAAACCAGTTCAGTGGACCAGGGATTTGATATCTCCACTCTCCTCCCCCTTCTTTCTGCAGCGCTTCCAGGGTGGGATAGAGATTCTCTATGCTGGTGCTGACCAATCAGAATCAATCTGAACTGTCCTGGAAGCACTGCAGAAAGAAGAGCGGGGACTTCAAATCCCTGAACCACTTCACTGGTTGTGAGGGCATTTATCTGCTCCTCGCCCATGGAGGTAAGTACAGCAGGGTGTTGGTATGTTGGTAGGGTGTGCGATGTTAATCCATCTTTCTTACCTTTTTCTCGGTAAATATATTTCTAAAGGTGCTATTGACATGAAGTTTTCACCACATTGGCTGTAACAACCCATGCAATCCATACATACAAAGAAACCAAAACAAAATAAGTTCAGAAATTAAGTTATGTATAAAAAAAAACTAAAATGGCAGAGGGAAAAAAATACTAAACATGCTAACTGAAATTTATTTAGTACTTCGTACAAAATCCTTTGTTGGTAATGACAGATTCAAGACTCCTCTTGTATGGAGAAGCTAGTCGCATGCATTGCTCAGCTGTGATTTTGGCCCATTCTTCCACACAGTCTTCAAATCTTGACGATTCCGTGGACCTCTTCTATGAACTCTGATCTTTAGTTCTTTCGACAGATTTTCTATTGGATTAAAGTCAGGTGATTGGCTGGGCCATTCTAGCAGCTTTATTTTCTTTCTTTGATACCAATTGATAGTTTCCTTGGCTTTGTGTTTGGGATCATTGTCTTGCTGAAATGTCCACCCTCGTTTCATCTTCATCATCCTGGTAGATGGTGGCAGATTTTTATCAAGAATGTCTTGGTCCATTTTTCCATTCATCCTTCCTTCAAGGGATATGAAGTTTTCCAGTAGCATTATGCAGAAAAACAGCCCCACACCATGATGTTCCCACTTCCAAACTTCACTGTTGATATGGTGTTCTTGGGGTGATGTTCAGTGCCATTTAACCTCCGAACATGGTGTGTATTATGGCATCCAAAGAGTTAAATTTTGTTCTCATCTGACCAGACTATATTCTCCCAGTATTTCACAGGCTTGTCTAAATGTTGTGCAGCAAGCTTTAAACAAGCTTCCACTTGCTTTTTCTGCAGCAGCGGAGTCTTGCATGGTGAGCATGCACACAGGCCATGGCGGTTGAGTGCATTACTTATTGTTTTCTTTGAAACAATTGTACCTGCTAATTCCAGGTCTTTCTGAAGCTCTCCTCAAGTGGTCCTTAGCTCTTGGACAACTCTTCTGATAATTCTTTTTACTCCTCGTCAGAAATCTTGCGAGGAGCACCTGGTCATGACCGGTTTATGGTGAAATGATGTTCTTTCCACTTCTGGATTAAGGCCCCAACAGTGCTCACTGGAACATTCAGAAGTTTAGAAATCCTTCTGTAACCAATACCATCAGTATGTTTTGCAACAATAAGGTTGAGAAGGTCTTGAGAGAGCTCTTTTCTTTTACCTTTTATATGTTTCTTGGTAATGAGACACCTTTTTATAGGCCATCAGTTGAGACTGAACCAGCTGATATTAATTTGCATTGACAAGGGGCAGGATTTCTTTTTAATTATTAATAGATTTCAGCTGGTGCCTTGCCTTTTTGCACCTCTCTTTTCTTCATGTGTTCAATACTTTTTCCCTGTTTTATTCCATTTTATTACACATAGCTTACTTTATGAACTTATTTGTTTTTGTTTCTTTGTATGTATGGATTGCATGGGTTATTACTGACATGTGGTGAAAATGTCATGTCAATAGCACCTTTTTAGAAATATGTTTACTGAGAAAAATGGTGACGTGTTCAATACTTATTTTTACCTGCTGTATGTACAGATAAAAATTGTTCAGCTCTGTATGTTTGGCACCATAGCTGAACTGCTAGATTGTACACAAGACCTGAAACCTAGTTGGATGAGGGCTGTACAGAGTCAATCTGTAGAGCTGTAAGGATATGTCAATCAGTCAAAAGAGATCCCTGTAACCATTTGTGTTCTGATTATCAACACAATGAGGAGAATTTATCAAAACTGGAGCAGCTGTGTATGGCAACCAGTCAGCTTCTATCATTTATTTTGAAAGCCTAAAGTGATATTAAAGCTTCTTTTTTTATACAATAATAAACTTGTCATACTTACCTGCTCTGTGCAATGGTTTTGCACAGAGCAGCCTCGATCCTCCTCTTCTGGGGTCCCCCACTGGCGCTCTTGGCTCCTCGTTTTGGAGAGTGCCACTTCCTTCCTATGGGGGCACTCGTGCGTGTTTGCTCCCAAACCACCCTGTCTCTGTGTATTGACAGGATGGCTTGGCCCCACCACCTCCCTCATCACAGGATTTGATTGACAGCAACGGGAGCCAATCTGCCCAGGGAGGAAGACAGAGACTGGAGAGCCTCTGCTCTCATGCACAGCACTGGATCCGGAATGGGTACAGGTACATATAAGGGGGAAGCAAAGAGGGGGATTCTTTTTACACACAGAAGGTTGTTTACCTTAATGCATAGAATCCGTTAGAACCACTTTAACGGAAAAAGCTGAACATAGAAGCTGATTGATTGCCATGCAAATCTGCTCAAGTTTCTATCCAATGCAAAGTTGATAAATTCCACGTATTTTATCTAAATTACCTATTATACTAAATATCCTTGTTTGAGCTTCTAAGCACTCTATCAGTTACTCAATTTCTAGGGTTGTGTTTGCTCTCTGTTGGAAATAAACAAAAAACAAAAAAAAAACTATTTTTTTTTGTTTCAGTCCGAGGAAGAAGATGAAGAGGTAGAGAAAGAAGAGGAAGCTCTAAAGAAAAGTGCGGACTGGGTATCTGACTGGTCAAGTAGACCTGAAAATATTCCCCCCAAGTAAGTGGTTTTTTTTTTTTTTGTTTTTCTTTTTTTTTTTCTTTTACAGATTTGTGATGTCATCTCATTCTGTTTTTGGTGACAGCTCTTACACGGGTGTGTTAAGTTATTAAAAACAGGGGTTTGGAAATTTTTAAAAAACTACTTGTCCAGGGACTAAATCGGGGTCCCAATCTACTAGTCCTGATTAAAAAAACATGCATTTAACCAAAACCGTATTTAAATCTGCTTTAAGTAATGTCTGGGGCTTTTAAAAACAAAAGGGGCTTTCTGGCGACTTAAACATTTAATACTTTAAACATTGTGCTGTTTATCTCCTCGTCCCCTCCCTGCCTGTCTCCCGCACCACACCTGGGGACTAGCAGGGAGGGGAGAGACCTTGCAGTGTAGTAAGCACCGATTGGGTGCTTGTCAGGAAAGGGGAGTGTCATGCTTATGCTTTATCCCAATCATTGCCTGAGCAGTTTTTGCATTATTTGCACACGTTTAAAAAATCATTTTAGGCCTGAAGATTACACAAACCCTCAAAACATGATATATTTTCTGAAATCAGAGATCCTAGAGAATAAAATAGCGGTAGTTCCAATTTTTTTATGTCACATGATATTATCACAAAGGTCTAGGAAACACAAAATTTCAGTAAAAAAATACACTGAAGTTTTAGGGCACAGAAAGCAATAAATTATCCAATTTTTTTGTAAAATATAAAAGATGAGGTTGCAGTGAGTAAATAGATATCCAACATGTAAAAACCTTAAATTTGCATGTGCTTGTGAAATGGCGGCAAACTTTAGTACCCTATATTTTCTATAGGTGACACTTTTAAAGCTCCTTACAGGTCATCAGTATAGTGTACAGAGGAGGTCTGGTGCTAGAACTATTGCTCTCATTCTGGCATGCACGGTGATATGTAACATGTGTATCGCAATCCATGTTTTCATGTGTAGTGTAGGCGCCCGAGCAATGTGCTTTTATGTTCGTGCGTACATATGTGGGGGTGGGGGGGCCTTAAAAGTTTGGGGGTGTTATATGCTTGGGTTTAACTTCCATTTAAAAAAAAAAAAATTTTATTAACTTTTTTTTTTTTTTTTTAAATCACGGTTGAGACAAAAAGTCCCCTATGTGATCATTTTTGGTGACAGGTTCTCATTTTTGAGATATCCAAGGTCTAAAAGGCCCTGCATGTCTCCCCTGTACTACACTTAATGTAATGCGGTGCACATCTCACCGCATTGCATTCTTTCCTGGCCTCAGTGACTGGGAATCTGTCGATTGGGGACCCGGAAGTGACGTTGCATCACCTCCGGGTCAGGAGAAGAACAGGAGCGGAGCAGGTGTGTCCGCTCTCCTCCTCCCTCCCCTACACCACATCCCGCTGCACACGCTGAACCAGTCTCAGGCCCGCAGATGGGCAAGCAGAGCCCGGGACATATAGCGAGGGAGAGGCTGACACTGTGGGCTTCTCCCTCCCCTCTAGCCAACGGCAAGCAAAGCCCGGGAAACCTCACGCCGGGGCACGGAGAGTCTGGCACTGTGTGAAAGCAATCGGCGGCCCTGCTGCTTGCCCGCGGCAGGGCTAAAGGAGGAAAAAAACTACCTGCCCAGCGCCGGGCGATAGGAATTACACATCCCTGTAAAAAGTAAATGGGTTAAAATATATGAATGCCATTAAATCCTAACTAGCCATTTTTTATATAGAGTAGGGAGGAATTCAAATTTCTGTTCATTTTTTTTTTTTTGTGACCCTACTGGGGATGGTTTTCTCCACTTCCTGTCCTTTTGACACATGACAAAGGAAGTTACCTTTCCCTACCAGCCAAAAAACATACATATTTAACTAAAGTTGAACTTTAAAAAAATATGGCTAAATCAATATGTGATCAGTTTCAGCTAAGATTGACGAACATTTCTGGGAAGGTTAAAATTAGTCTGTGCTCTAGAATTTGTGAACTGAGCTGCTGAGAGAACTGACTTAGAGCAGAATTAAGTCTTTTCTTTAAAAAATTTAAAAAATAGCCACCAGGAGATTAAGGTCTGTTTGACACAAGCCATGTTTGCACACAAGAGGATGTCACAGGTGTTCCACGAATCCCCATTTAGGCAGTCACATTCATGTCAAGAATGCAGTAGTTGCACGGACACAGGCACTGCTCCCAATTTGACAATCATGCTGGTGCATGGCCCCAAACAGAGCCCGCAAGGCTGCGAGATTGGGAGCAGCGCCTTTGTAACATGACATACATGGCCCCCACACGAGCATACGCTTTAGTACACCCCTGTAAATAAAACCTATGCCATAAAGTACTATTATGCACAGCATAACACATTATGGCTGACCTATCTTCTTACTTTTGGCTATCACGGGTGCTTCCATCGTCTGGTCTCTACCCCAGGTTCACTCTTCAACCGTTTGATGTCCCTCTTGCCCATGTGCAGGGGAGTCGTATCATCCTGGCCAGAGCATTGGTGTAAATGCATGCTGAGCTGCGCATGTGAGGCTCAGTGTATGTTAACACTGACAGGCAAGTGGATGCGGTTATAAAATGCCTACCTGTCAGCATTTTTGTGAGAATTTAATTCTGTTTTAAATTACTTGGGTGCGTCTGATGTGATCTTTGAGAATTAATTACTGCACAGTGTCTGCAGCTACAGAGGTTAGTGAGGGCTGTAAAGCTCAACTACTTCAATGTCTGTAACCCGGCCACAGATTCATTTTAAAGTAAACCTGAGCAAAAGTCTGGACAGAAAGATTTTGACAAGCAGCCCTGCGCTTTAGTCAGTGCTATCTCACTGGATAAGGACAGGTGTCTGGGAGGTAAGAAGACCGTTACACTTGTATGACTCCCACACCTGTATACTCCTTGTGTACTAGATCAATGTTTACATTGGACCCATTTATAAGGGAAAAGCTACTAATGCCACTAAAGTAATATATACTGTATATCATTTTTGGGACAAGTAAAGAGTGTTATTTTCCATTCAACCGAACAACAAAAAGATCAACACAATGAAAAAAAAATTGAGCAGTGTTGAGTTTAAAACAAATAAATGTTAATCTATATATGAAATGCACATTTTATTCTGTCATTTAACCCTTTAATACCCGCAGCATTGTAGTCATGCCAGAAGTTCTTGTGGTGATTCTCTGTGTTTTCTCCCCTCTTTCTCTGTCAGGGAATTTCATTTCCGCCACCCCAAGCGCTCAGTGTCTCTGAGCATGAGAAAGACTGGCGCCATGAAGAAAGGGGGCATTTTCTCTGCAGAGTTCCTGAAAGTGTTTATCCCTTCTTTATTCATCTCTCATATTTTGGCTCTGGGCCTGGGGTAAGTCAGAGAAACTGAATTACATTCTAAATATATGTGTTGAAGCTTACCCTTCTGTTCATTTAATTTTAGTGGTAACATTTGTAGAAGTGGAAAGTTGGGTTTCTCTCTTTGTGCAACCTTTGCCATTATTCTCTGAGTTGGTGGCGTATAATCACCATTAGCTTTATTTTTGTAGTTTTGATATAATTGAATGAAGGTATGCTCTTTTTGCTTTAATTAACCAATCAGAAGAATATTCTTGTACCAATTTAGTTAGGAAAAGGATGATGAAATTCAGTGCTTGCTATGTGCAAGAACAGTAATTTCTTTAGCCACTATGTTAATCCTGGACCCCGCATTCACTATATCTGGAACATGGAAATGCAATTATTTTAGTAAATATAAACTGCTAAATACCTTCTCTCATCAGCAGTTAGAGCAGTCTTGTTACTTCTATCAGTGTTCAGCAGAGCACTGGTTAAAGCTTATAGGAGGAGTTTTCTTCCTGTTCCTGGTCAGGATGCAGAACTCCTGACCGCTGTCTGGACAGTGCTAATTGGCCCTGTGCTAATCACATGCAGTCTCCCAAGAAAAAAAAAACCTCTCTGCACATTCTCAGTTTAGTGTGCATTGCTAGAGTGTCTCCACACATGTTTTATCAGGAGATAAGAGGGGGACACTGGAAGAAGGGGAGGATCAGAGAAGTCAGGATTAACCAGCATTTTTACACAATGCAGAGGATTAACCCCTTAGGTTCTACAGTGAGTATAGCAAGCATGCTTTACTGCATATACAGACTGATTTTACTGTTGTGGGTTTAGTAACACTTTAATGGAGAGGTATAGGCAAAGCTTTTTTTGGCTGTACTTCTATGGATCACTGGTGTACAGTTCAGTCTGTACTCCTGTGACCTGTTTACAGCCAACAGTGGGCTAAAGTCTACTGTCAGCTGACGTCACAGAAGCCAGTCCAGGCTCTGAAAAGATCATTACTATATGGTCAGGACCTACCCTGATGTCTTGACTGGCAGCTGGCTCAGCCCCTCAGCCATCCACTGAGAGCCTGAGCCAGCTGCTCCTGTTCTCTCCACAGCCCAGCTCTCCAGTGAGTCCTGGGGGGCAGTCACCAGCTCTCTGCTCACAGAACACTGAAAACTGAGTAATCAGCAGTGTTTGATCTCTTAGTCCTCAGTCTTATAAGCGACAGATGCAGAGCAGCATCCATCTAGGTGAGGTATATATTTTTTTTTTTTCCTGAAACCCATATTTCTCTTTGAAACAAAGCCCAAAATCGTAGAATGTTGTAGTATAATGTGCTTTCACTTTGAAACCATCATTGACTGCCATGTGATCACAAACAGTCATCTAATTAATTGGTTAAATCTGTCTCTTTCTCTCTGTATCTAAGACCAAGAACAAAAATCTAATATATTGCAGCGTACCATTCCTTTAGATGGATAGTTTTTATTTCAGTTGTTTTTTCTTTACTGTCACCTAATGATCCCACCAGTAACACACGTCCTGTCCTGCTATGACAAACACTCATGGTCCTGAATCTATGGAACAGCATTGTCAACCTAGAACAGGAAGTGTGTAATAGACTACAGAACACCTCCTGCTCCCCCATATCTATAACATGGCAGTTCAGAGGTCAATTAGGCAGGGCTGATAACAGTGCTTGAGCAAAGACTTCAGAGTACGCAGAATCAAAGGGTATTGTATCACTTCTATAGATAAATATACCTAACTGCTTTTCATGGTTTTTTTTAACAAGGCCATAAGGGATCAAATAATAGTTTGTTTACACCCTAAATGCTAGTGGTGCACTGAAAAGAAAATTCTGGTGCCGAAACCGATATTAAAAATTCAGAATGCATGTGGCCGAAAACCGAACCGTAATGTCTGTGTATGTGGGGAAGCTCCAATTTTTTTTATATTTTTATATTTTTTAACTTATGATTTTATTGCTATCACAGAGGGGACCAGTAGTCCCCTATGTGATAGTATATGAGTGACAGGTCCTCTTTGTAGGGGGCAGTGTGTGCAAGGAGGGAAGCAGTGTATACAGAGAGGCTCCCTCACTGGCTGTCACTACGTCTGTGCTGGTTTTTAAATGCAATTACTGTATTTTTTTTGTCTTCACTATGGCTCAGAGAATTAGCTGTCATTTTCACGGGAGCTAAAAAAAAAACTTTGTTTCTTTTATCTCGAGAAATGAACTAAAAAGAAACTGTTTCTTTAAACTCAAGGAAATAAACTAAAAGGAAACTGTTTATTTTAGCTGGGGGGAAAGTGACAGCTAATTCTTTGAGCTATAGTGAAGAAAAAAAAAGCTGGTAATTACATTTAAAAACTGTCACTGACATATAATAGGAGATTTACTAAAACTGGTTGACTCAGAATCTTGGGCACCTGTGCATGGTAGTCAATCGGCTTCTAACCTCAGCATGTTCAGTTAAGCTTCAGCAATAAAACCTGGAAGCTGATTGGTTTTTATGCAGAAGTGGACAAGATTCTGAGTCAACCAGGTTTAGTAAATCCCATAGTGACAACCAGTCACTGTATACACTGCTCCTCTTCTGCCTTTCTCAGCCACCGCTCCCAAACATCTGCAGTACACACAGTCTCCTGTATCTGCACCTATATCGGCTAAATTTTTCCTATCGGCAAAATGCCAATAAGGTTGTTTTTAGGCCGGTATGTTTCGGTGGGCGAAATTTCGGTGCATCCCTATTAAATGCTTTATCACTTGTTTTGGTATTTTATTTTTAGACTATCATAATGAAATAATGTTTTTTTTAGTTTTGATAAGTCAAAGTCTGCTGTGATTTGAATTGTTTTCTGATGAGACCTTTTAGAACTTGAATACATTGTTGCTACAGTTCACACTGGTGTGTTGTTAGCGCATTTTAATGTGTTGCCTTAACATTTATCACAACACAAATTTTTTTGCATGCATTTTCATCTCTGGTCATCTGGGAAAAAATGACGTGACTCAAAACGCACTTAATAAAATGTGCGTTTTTTGGTGCATTTCCATTGACTGTAATGAAAGGTGCTTGTTTGGTGCATATGTCAAATAGGGCACCAAATATGCAGCAAGCATGACTTTTTAAATAAGCAGCACATTTAAATAAAAACAGTCCAGAGATGTGAAAAGAGAATGTAAAGGAGGCTATTTTTAACGTGCTTTTATCACACTAGAAAGGTGCTTTTTAGTGCAGCAACAGCACACCAGTTGTGAAATAAGCTGTTGATGTATTTGAGTTATTGTTATTGTGTAACTAATTTAATATTGTGTGTATATTTTTAGAATATACATTGGAAAGAGGCTGACCCTTCCATCTGCCAGTTCCTATTGATGGAGCATGATGTGGAATTGAACCCGTGACCCTGTGAAGATGTGTTCCTGTCACATTTGTGCATTCGAACTTTGCACCATGTTAAGCATGACTCAAAGCACCCTCTTCCTTTCACCCATCTTTCAAACTGGGGGAAACCTTTTTTTACCCATCATGTAGGTTCAGAGCACCAGTCCATAATGTGAAGATCCTGATTTATCCAACAGAAAATAACTTGTTTCCTGATACTTCTCTGCAGAGCCAGAAGCACAGCTTTCCCTGGGGAGAAAAAGAAAAATGGTCTGGCTTAGGTCAGCAAAGATTTTTCTATCCAAACATGGATGAATACAACAGAGTTTCTGCAGTTTTCATTTGGATGAATCTAGCAGTTATCTTGCTGATATCATCTGAATCTTACAGAGCTTTTCATCTTACTGTTTAGGTGATGTTCAGAAGAATTCATTGTCATGGGGTGGATAAGGCTGTCTGTGCCCTCACTGTCATAGCTTGGAGTCATTCACCAATTTCTGGTGTCTTAGTGAGGCCAGCAGTCCTGTAAGGTTACGTGAAGCCAGCATTGCTTGCTTTCCTTGACTGTTTCAATGAAGCCACCAGAGTTTTTGCTGTCTGGATGACAACACCAGTGCTTGAAGTAACAGTGTCCTGGATTATGTTTGCTCTTCTTTCCTTGTCATTAGATGAAACTGGTCACTGAACAGAGCTGGTAGCAGTTGGCGTGGATGAAGATCAAAGTTCTCTTCCTGACATTGGATGAAACCACCCGTTCTGTAAATTTACACCTCCTTTTGTTGGAGAGTAAATACATTGGCTTTTGCATCATAGCTGTGCAAACAGGAGCTCTGGATCTACAAATATCAACCCAATAACTTTCTAAGTAAGAAAATCCATGGATACCTTCAACCTGCAGTAGGTTGAGCATTTATCCAGTCCAACCTCCCATGTGGCGCAAAAAGTAGTCCACTGCTAAACCATTTTTAGAAACTGTATCATGGGGACTTTTTCAGATTCCATCTCAGTATTGCCACAAAAATATTTGGGAATTGAGAACATTTTACAGCAAAGGTAGCTCATTTAAAAGATTTAATGCCACATATAAAATGTGTCTTTGCTAATGTAGGTATTACATCCTGTACTGATCGTGAGCATCTCATGCCTGATAGAATCCATTACCTCTTTGGGTTTATTACAGTACCAATGCGCTGCCCTCTGTGTATATAATGATGTATACCCACCATTCTAGTATGTGAAGATTAACATCACATGTAGCAGATCCTTGATATCGGAATCCGCAGGGATCCTCTCTCTGTAAAAAAGAATAACAGCACCTCATTTATTGGAGGATTGTTTTTGTTTACTGCTCTGTAATACAGTAATACAAAATTAAGAAGAACATTAATTCAGGTTGTGGACCTGAACAGAACACTGCACAATCCCTCAGCGACTTGTCCTTGCATTATGAGCTCAAGGGCAGAGTATTACCCTACCACAATCTATACTATCCTCATCACTCCTCTGCCTGTCTCCAAGCTGGAAATCTAGCCAATTTCTTTTTTTTATGTCTGTATGTTTTTTTTGTTTTTGTTTTTTCAGTTTGTTTGTGTTTTAATGTAAAATGTGAAATTGTATTGCTAGAATATCCTGAAGAGCCTTCAAAGCTAGGATATCCATTTTTGAGGATCATATCTACTGCTTATGACACCACTGCCTGTATTTTTCAATGGAAATGGATATCAAGTATGCATCTAATGCATACTTGCAAGTGAAATCCCTATGTACATGTCATAAACAAAAATTTGGAGGTTCAAAGAGACGCTGAAGACCTTAGGATATGTTTGGAGAGCTGCATATCTGGCCTGGGGTAATTTTTATAAAAGCTTGAACACGTACTGAAAGCGGCATAGATACTTGTAAGAAAAAGTTAGTTTACAGAAGGCATCATTTTGACAATTCTTGATGTGCTTATGTCTTGTAGACCTGACTAATAAACTAGGCCCTTTATAACTATCCAAACTACCCAAAACTAAACATATATGTTTAGATGGAGAACTAAAAATAATAAAAAAAAAATAAAAAAATAAAGACCAAGAGCACTTATAATCTACTTTTGTGGGCTTAATGAGTTTAACGTCTTGCGGCCTTAGCATATCCAAAAGTAGAAAAGCTAGTTTAGAATTGGCTATCCTTTAATGTCCCAAAACCTTGGAGGCTACACTGTTCTCGCTCCTGCCTACCTGTAGCACGTACTTAGGGTATGTGGGACCTTTTTCAAATCAAGCAATTTTCCTTATGAGCCTGCATGTCAAAAGAGTCTCCCTGTAACCAATCTCTTACAGTAGGAGTAGGACGTTGTAATCAGAACATGCTTTTGGACTTTGGGCAGGTGTACACTGGCCAAATCCAAACTGCTATAAAATCCAAAGTGCTATAAATAATTAAGCCCCCAAACGTTAAAGTGCACTTATTTATTGTAATTATGTCTCAAAATACATTAGCAGAAATCGGTTGCGTTTATAGGTGATTTTCTGGACATTTTGAAATCCCCTCTTTATGGATTATTAGTGTAATAATATAAAGGGTCCAGTCCTTACACAGCTCCTGGGTTTTAATTGACCTTCAAGCAGTAATAAGGGTATGTTCACACTAGCTGCTGGGGTGTGGTGCAGTCCGGCTGAGATCAGCTATGTGATGATGTGGTAATCTCAGCACAACGCACTGTTTTGTTTGTGGTTTTTTTTTGTTTTTTTTTTTAATTGGTTTATTGAGATGTCACACAGACATCTCATAAAGTTCAATGCTGGCAGTATGGTGCAAGGCAGTGGATTGCCTCACACTGTTCTGTGCAAAAAAAAAAAAAAAAAAAAAAGTACTGCACATTGCACTTTTTTTCTCACCGCACACCACTGCAGTGCAGTCGTGTGAACCGGGCAGATAGGGGGCCAAGGCATTTTGCCTTGTAATGCATTGGGACTGCATTGGAATAGCCACCCAACACCATCCCACAGCATATAGTGTGAACATACCCTAAGACTTGAGTATATGGGCATTTATTCATAATAGAGCTGCTTTTCTCCCCTTTCTATGAGCATACAGCTTGAAACGGCTTGCAAGGAAGGCAGAATCAACTTACAAGATACTTGTAATGTTCTCAGAAAAGTCTGAAGTTGGAATTTATACCTTAAAAGCATGCTCTATTTGGTCATTTACAAAAGCCCATGTTTAGTCAACCTTCTGGGGAAATTGAGTATCACAATGCAGCCACACAGTAAGATGCTTCTTTGTATGTATGAACTGCTGTATTTTTTTTATTGTTGGTCGTAATGAGCCAAGAACTACAAGCAACAGCAGAATATGATTTGTAATCCCCACTAACTGAAGGAGGAGCCCAAGGTCAATGGCTAAAGCCTAGTACACACCTGCTGGACTGTACAAAAAATTTTTTTTAAAAAATTAGCAGCTCACAAGGAAGTCTATGTACTAACGATTCAATGTTAGTATAGCGATATCCCTGCTGAGCTCTTGTGTTCTGACATGAGGATCCCCCACCAAAAACACACACCGGTGATCGGATGCCGATCGGCTTCTGGTTTTCCAGCAGGATTTTTCGACAGAAGCCAGCCATGAGAGTGGCTTCTGTCAAACAAGGACCTGTACACATGCACCAAATGTCGGCCGGTGTTTACTGTACCGGTTGATTTCAACCGATATTTAGCCCGTGTATGTGTACAGGGCTCAAGAGTAAAGACTTTTTTTTTTTTTTCCAAGTTTTCCTTTGAAAAAGGTCCTGCACTTAATAGAACTTTTACAGTTTTATCAGAGTACATAGAAGTCTAAAAGAGGGATGGCAGAAAGAGACCAAGTGGTTCGAGTTGGCTCCCTTTTTTTAAATTATTTTTTTTAACCCTTTAGTCTGAGTATAGATATTATTATAGTATATTATTTTTAAATTCACTCGCTGTTGACTGACTCCCTGTCCGCTGGAAGTCTGTTCCAAGCATTGACAACTCTTTCAGTAAAATAACACTTTGCAAGGTTAGTTATGTTTAGGTTGTTAAAATTACACCCAGCATGACATTATAGATTTACCATATTTAAGTCATTTACAAACAAAAAAATTGCTTTCCATTCTAAATAAGAATGGGGTTCTTCAGATTCCTGCTTGTAGCAGCTGTGAGGGGTTCATCGCCCTGCAATGCCTTTGTTTTACTGAGTGCAGAGTACCTGTGAGCATAATTTGTCAACTGGTATGTATTGTTATTAAGACCATATAAGCAGCAGCAGAACCATTGTTGCATTAATACAGGCAAGCAATATGGTGGCAACACCTATCTAAAGATCCATGTAGGGTTCACAATTTTTAATGTGAACTTCTTTAAAGTGTAATGCATATACCTTTTACTATCATTTATATACAATACTAAAACAGAAAAGAAAGTAATTTCAATCTTTGTAATGTTGAGCTGGAGGAAATGATCAGAATATAAAACACCCATTTGTAAGATGTTGGTAAGTCTTTTATACACAATGAATTACCTTTATACAGGATTAGTTGTTATGCAGTAGAGGACTATTCGACACATTCCAGCCCACATGCAACCGCCTCTGACCATTCTACTTAACTTGCATCTGCGGATTTTGGCTTCATACTCTGCAGTAATGATATAAAGTCATACAAATGTTCTGTAGTCTATAAAAAACCCTTAAACCCTCTGGGGACTTTGAGGTCCTCCATACCCCTTAATTGTAATAAACCAGACTTACCCGTTAACAGGATCAGGCTCCTTTGGTTTACCAGCAGCCCACTCCTGGTTATGGCCATGGTGTGGGACCAGTTTACAGCAGACCCACCTCCTACTTTGTGGCCATATTCTGGAGGTAGCAGGCTGTCCTTCATTAAATGGAGCCAAGTTTCAGTAAGAAGCACTTAATCAGTAGACCAAATAGCAAGCAGTGAAGGAGCTCAAGATCTCCAGAGGATTTAGCTTAGGACTTCATTCCATAGT